TATATATATATATATATATATATATATATATATATATATATATATATGATTTGGTATACGTAGATACATCATCTCTCTCTCTATCACCTCTATTCCCGTTGAACCTCGAGTGACTCGAGCGGGCGCCAGTAAATCTTCCATCTTCCACTGTCGCGTGCAAGAGTAGCCCAGTATGTTCTGCTCGTTCTAGGGACTCGTCGAGCATCATATCTTTCTTCAAGGCTCTTTGTTAAGAACTCTGACCATCGGATCTGTGGTCTTCCTGCAGTACGTTTGACATCCCGAGGAATCCAGTCACTAATGGCTCCTGTCCATCCGTTGTCATTCATACGCATTACGCGTCCGGCCCACTTTATCTTCGACTGTTTGGCGTACAGAACGGCATCTTTGATCCTTAATCGTTGACGCAGATTGGAGCTTCGGATTCTATCCTTTGCTTGTGTGAAACGAGATACTCCTTGGATCATCCTTTCGACTGCACGTTCGATAAGGCTGAGTGACCTTTCATCCTGCATACGCAGCGACTAGGTTTCTGACGCATATTCTAGGGCAGCAAGTACCGTTGAGTCGAAAGGTGGGCGCGGAGTCAGGTGCTCTTTGTTCTCTTCACTACATCCTCGATGCTCTTGGAAACTCCCCAAGCCGCTCGTTTCCCTCTGCTCAGCTCTGGTGCTAAGTCGTTCTTAATATTGATTTTCCTGCCATGATAGACATAATTGGAGCATTCGGAGATAATCGTTCCGTTGAGCGTAAATGGGGCATACGAAACCAATCCGTTCTTCATGAACATCGTTTCTGTGAGATTTAGTTGAAGACCAATCTTTCCATAGGCTTTATCAAAGTCGTCAAGCATACGTTCCGTTTGGCTAATGTTTGATGTTATAAGGACGATATCATCAACATATCAAAGATGGTGTAACTGCCGACAATCGATTTTCACTCCCATATTATCCCATTCCAATGTTCGTATGACGTTCTAGAGGGTGGCGGTAAATAGTTTTGGCGAGATGGTGTCGCCTTACCTAACCTCGCTTTTTACGTCGATGTTAATATCGTTGTAGAATGATGATATCTTGGCTGTGAAATTTTATTTCGAAACCGACCTTCCCTAAACCTCGGTGTGACTAATCAATATGTATTCTTTCTTGATAAGCTTGCACGAGGTTGATAAATATATTTATTTTCGGCTAACGTTTCGACGTCTTCGTCTTCCTCAGAGCCGGTGATCCGAGTCGATGGTCCATGCCTGTTGTTCGCCTCGACGTTGAGTCTTTGCCTTCCTGTCGAGCCAGATCTTCCTCAGCGAGCCATCTTCTCGAATGAGGCATCCTCACTCAGTGATGCCCTTTTATACACGATGCACGATGTGCGCAATGATGTATGTCCGGAAGAAATACAAGTTGTTACCACCGGACATTGTCATTATATATCCACCATCAGCATCGTGTATAAAAGGGCATCACTGAGTGAGGATGTCTCATTCGAGAAGATGGCTCGCTGAGGAAGATCTGGCTCGACAGGAAGGCAAAGACGCAACGTCGAGGCGAACAACAGGCATGGACCATCGACTCGGATCACCGGCTCTGAGGAAGACGAAGACGTCGAAACGTTAGCCGAAAATAAATATATTTATCAACCTCGTGCAAGCTTATCAAGAAAGAATACATATGTCAAATTTTAGTACAACTCACGAAGAATCTTTATACACTGAGTAGGGAATTCTTGACTATCAAGGGTTTCCAAAACTGCTTCTATCTCAACTGGATCAAAGACCGATGAAAGTGAGACAGAACGGTCTTTTGTACTCTCGCGATAGTTCAATGAGCCGTGTTACCGTGTGGATGTGGTCCATCGAACTAAACCCTCTACGAAACCCTATTTGCTCACATGGCTGTCATTCGTCTAGTGTTCTGTCAATCCTGTTTAGGATGACTCAAGTGAAAAGTTTGTAGACGACAGACAGTAAGCAGAATAGGCGATAGTTGCCGATATCGTGTAGGTCACCCTTTTTGAACAATAACACGGCCTTGCTGGTCTTCCACTGAGAAGGGTCTTGCATTCAGACAGGTAATGTGTGAATAGCCGAGCCAATGTGTTTACGAGGACTGGCGGAAGGACCTCCAGGCGTTCTGGTCGTATCCTGTCCGGACCTGGTGCTGTTCGATGTTTCACAGAGCAAATCGCATGTCGGATTTCGGAAGGGAGAACCGGTGGCACGACATATCCATCCTCCTTTATTTCATATAACAGAAGGTGGACGTGACTATCGAAGAGACCCGAGTAGTATTCGTGAATGATTTTCTCCATTGCATTTCTAGACGCTGTAACTGTTCCGTCTGGGGGTCGGAGTTCAATCGTCTTGGTCTTGTAATTGGAGAAACTTCGGTGGGCTTTGCGAATGCTTTTCCCAGCCTCTGCAGATTCGACCATTACTGCTGCTCTATTCTCTTTAACATCTTCTTGTATCGCCTGTCTGCATTGTTTTGCAACTTCGGACGTTAGTTTGCGGTTGGCAGCAGCTCCTGCGATTCCGCGCTGGCGTATCAACTCGAGTGTTTCTGGAGACAAACGTCTCTTGGTGACTTTCGAACTCTCACCTTTCATAGCGCTAACGTGAGGATGTTGAATGAGCCGATCGTATTCTTCGTCGATGTTATCGACAGCGGCATCTTTCCAACAGCTGACTAACAGATTGAATAAGTCCCAGTTTGCGGTGGTTCTGGGAACTCGGTTTTAGAATTTAACGGCTTTTTCTCTTTTACTCGAGGAATAGAATCTTGCACGAAGGAGACGATTGTCTGATCCCATGCAGAATTTCGGAACAACAGCGACATAGATTAGGCAAAACCTTGTATTTACTATGATGTGGTTTATTTCGTTTTGGCACATTTGGAGACTCCCACGTCCAGCGTTGAGGATGGGGCTTTTGGAATTGCGAGTTCCATGGATGTTTCTGCCTGCCAAGATAAACTGAGATAGCCGCTCACCCTGTTCGTTCCTTTCTAATCCGTGGGTCCCAACGTGACGTTCTTCAGACGTTCTTCTTGGTCCAATCTTGGCGTTGAAACTTCCAATGATGATCTTGAAGAATGTATGGCCTTCTCTGCAGAACTTCCCCAAGTTCATATAGAACGCTTCGACTTCGTTTTCGTCATAGTTTGATGTCGGCGCGTAAACGACGAAGATTGTCAAAGCTGGAATTGACTACGTCTTTTTAATCGTAAACGTCCGATTCGGGTTGTAAGCTGTTCGAATCAGCCGATGTTCATGGACAAACTCGTGTTGACGAGAACGCCGACGCCGCCGACTCCTCTACTGTCGCATGTTCCGAGGAACAGTTCTTCTCCTGTGTTATATGTTACATCGAGGACTCGGATGCAAGTGTACGTGCATTGTAGGTACAGATCGTTGCTATAGTTCTTTGAAATCCAGGCAGCTACCATTGGCCCTGAGATTTTAGCAGCCTCTCCATACTCCTCCTACCCAACGCTGCGAAACTGGAGGTTCCTTCGGGGTCGGGGGAATGAAGCCCGTTTTTTTTTACTGTGTTTAGCATTTTTGATATCTAGGTATGGCTTGCTGTGCTCTGAACGTGGGGGCTGGGTATACTCACGGGTAGTTTGCCAGGCTCTCCCAAGGTGGACATGGAGTTTATTTGTTGGAGGTGACTTATAAGCACCTCCCATATACTTCCCAGTTACTTGATTGCAGGTTTTTGGTCGAATTGACTCGTAGAATACATTCCGCATAAGCACGAACGCAACGCACACGCACGTGCATGAATACGCCTAACAAATACTGAAGGTATGTGCCAAATCAGCGCAGCAGAAACAGGGAGTCCATCTCCTGGATCCACCTGCGTCTCAGGGAAACAAAGGTCGCTTTTGCTCCGCGATTAACCCCCTATCCGCCACCTGGGTCGCGCCACGTAGCCTCGCGACTAACCGGCTCGAGATTCCTCATACGAGGGAGGTCCGTGGACATACCTACGTACATACATACATACATACATACATACATACATACATACATACATACATACATACATACATACATACATACATACATACATACATACCGCAGACACCCGCGGTCCGGAGTTTTGCAAATATCTCAACATCGTTGTGGTTGTATTTCACGTAATACCCTGCATAAAAATTATAGAAGGCAGAAAATAAAAGGTAAACATTATATATTATCACAGATATATTGTAGACCTGTTGTATATTATTATACATAAATAAAATGTATATATACATATTGTATGCCTATATACTATATATCATACATATTACTTTATTGTTTATGGTATACATTTATAAGGATAAGGCTCTTGACGTTGATGAGCCCACGTGAGATCTGCCACACATTCGACTCCATTTAGCATCGTTGGAGATGAACTGAATGCACGTGCTGTCCTTCCAGGCTACTCTGGTATCAGTTTGCCGACAGCGGGGAGATGGAAAGCTTGATGAACCTGCCGAACAGGTTCAATCCCATGTGTGTAGTAGGGCGGCCTTAACTAACAAGTGCGCTACACCCCTTCCCCTCTCCCGTATTTATATATATATGTATATATATATATATATATATATATATATAACACTGAAATCGTTCGGGCATGAAGCATGTGAGGCTCCCAGTTTTGCTCATATCTCAGCACACTTTGGTTTTGTTTCACTTAACACCTTTGCATCAAATATGTAGGTATAATAATTACATTTTATAGGCACTGGTAGTGCATTGGTTAGGTCGTTGTCCAAAAATGCAACTAGAGACCTAGTTCGGCTACACAGTGGATTTTCAAGCCATTTATTGCTCTTAGGTCGGAAAATTGGTAAATAACACGTACGCAAAGAGGTCCTTTTGATCTGCATGGTATGGAAATGCCCTAGCACGCCTGCCCTTTAATTCTAAGGAGTGCGGATTTGGGCAGTATTCCAGGGAATTCATAGGGAAAACCAAAATCAACGAACAACAGCCAAACCCACAAGAGAATCCGAAGACCGTCTTGGTAGATGATGAATGCGAGCAAATGTAAGAAGTGTTGGGATCCGAACAATATGTTACAATATCCTTTTTCGTATGGAGTAAAATTAAATAAAAAATTTATCTTTTAGACGAAACTTTGTGGACAAATTTCATTCTCATTTCCATGGCTTCCATTTGCATATGAAGAGGAGGAGCTGATCAGTTTTGCAGTTAATCATAAGTATTAGCCTTTGGAATCAGCACAACAGAAAATGAACAATGAATAAGTTAGCTGTGTAGGCAGGAATAGGAATGCTAGGAGCTGAGGAAGAAACTTATAAGGTATTTAATGTTAAGATCGATATGCATGCTTTTCTTCTTCTGGACGAACATAATCTGAAGGACATTGGAGTGTCGACAATCGGTGCCCGAAAGAAAATACATCACGCCATTATTAGTAAGTATATGATAATTTAAAAAATAACCATAATGAACTAGTCAGCGTCGAAAGCTCGTTTTGATTTTCTTTCCTCATTCACACACTTCCATAGCTTCTAATGACTTCTCACCGTATTTGTAGAACGAGAAGAGATCATGCATTTCAGTCACATAACATCTTTTCGATCATAATGTTACGGAAGATAAAGTGCCAGAGATCGTAGTAATGAGCCTGCTTTCAGAACTCCGCGAATCGGCACGTACACATGGCTATGCTATATGATCAATCACCGACAATCACGGCTGCCTTTATCGGTCAATTTTATGTAAACTGTTATTGGGTGAGTGTATATACGACAGTGGTACATGTAGTGCACAGGATCCATCATAAGACCTATTTGCCAACTAGATGAATACGAGTTTTCAATTCAGTCATGATCACAAGGTGCTTAGATTCGACCATACTTGCCATAAAATGTGCTCATTTTTGATGTGTTTATATTGTTGGAAGACGTTATGAGCGAATAAAAATAAAATCTGTGAATTATTTGTATGTTATGTTTGCTTTCGATATTTACGTTGAAACATGATAGAAAGAAGAGGCGGATAGCACAGTGGTAGCGTTGTCGGTCATCACGAACATGTGGTAGTTCGATTCCGCTGGGAGCCAACCAAGCCTCTCATCCCTCCGGTGTCAGCAAATTGCTACCGAACTTGTCTGGGAAAAAGTCACTCTCTGCAATGCAATTGGGAACGATCTAGCCCGGCTATCTCAGGACTCAGGAAGAATTGCTGGGCCAGAATTCTACGACGTTCAAGATGAAATGAAAATCCTTAAGCAGCAACCGAAGCCACACGTATAAAGTTGGAAGATCTTCGCAGATAATGCATACTAGGAAGCGAATCGAATGTGAGAAGTGCTTGTGTCCGCAAGCTCGGTCACCTTTGTTTTGATCCCATTTTAACACAACAAAGTAAGCTTGGCATTAGCAAAATGGTTCAGTGACTTCCTGCATGAGTTCTAAAAGATTTTTCACCTACGAAAATTGTGTGAAGGGAGACTTGAAAATGTTGAGCTACTATCACGAGCTCTGGAGTACTACAATTCAATGAAATTGTCTCGATTTATTAATAGGCTTATACGGGCTCTTAGATCTTTTCGTGGCTAAAGCTCCGAGGCTTTCGCCTCCTCCGGAACAAGATTGATCCGCGTCAACTGTCCACAAAAATTATTACGGTGTGCTCTACGCAGTGACATAAAGTACCGTCGAATTTAAAGGGCACTGCATGAGTCCGGTGGCATCATTCAGCACTATCCTTTCTACAAAGGGCTGTTCCCACCGGCGGAATTAGAAGGTCTTGCGAACTCAGCAAGCGGTTCCTCTAAGGAAGAGAATTCTTCCTGCTCTGCATGTAGAAATAATTAACCACTTATTTCGTGAAGTAGTGCAGTACTTTTGTGTTTTACTCCACACTTTTGTCTTTCATCACGGCAAGTGTTATAATCGTTTTTTCATCAGATCGTTATTTAAACGGGTCACCCTCATCCGAAGGTGATCACTGCGTTGCACTGGTACTTTCCAACTCCATCTCATCGTTTTTCTTGATCACGGATTTCCATCTGTCAAACACTGAGGACCAGTATTTTTTTTTTCAGTGTTTGGTAGTGATGTCAACTTGAAAATACGGGAGTACTGTTAGTTTGCGAATCAACCTGAACCATAATTTTAAAAGAACAATATGTATTCAATGATCCGTTTTCTATGCAAACGAAATGTTGGTCCAAGTTTCAATTACCCAAGAGGTTGCACGTACCGTTGAAAATGCACATGTGGCCAATCTTCTACGCAGTAGAAACTCGGTTTTCGTACCACCTAGTACTGCCTGTGGCAGCAATTGTAGAGCCGATAAGATATTTTGCAAGGAAGAAACTGATGCCCAAGTCAAAGCAGACACCCTATCAAAATTCATCAGTCCAAGAGTATCAGAAATGCTAAGCTTTGAATTTTTCGTGGAGTTTGTAAAATTGTAACACTTTCCAACCTGTGTGGAAAGAGAAATGTTCTGTGATGTTAAAGAAAATGAAATAAAAATTGTATTAGCGACCTTATGTCCGTCTTACCTAACACCAGTAAGGGGCTTTGTTTCGACAACATATCGATTTTCTAGACGGAAACTCTTATCGTGTATCGAACGTTGCCTAACCAAAAACTACAATTTGTTCATCAAACAACTAGAACATTGAGGCGCTAAGAGGTGCGTTTCAAATTGAGCCTTTCAGCCATGAAACACAGGCTGTTATCGGAAACGAAGAAAGAATGGTTCTCTAAGGTGGGTGGACACATTCTGTCTTTGACGCCACATAATTTATACATAAAAGGAAGAATTAGACAGTTCTCAGCGACTTCAATAAAACTATGCACGATAAAGTTTTCCTGGATAATAATTTCTATTTATTTCACGTAATTTACAAATAAAGTAGAGCCGTAATCAATACACTAACGAGTCCTAATAAAATTATGCATAGGAATATCCACAGTATTCGAGCTATTCTTGTACAACACATTTCAACGAAAACCGATTGGTCGTGAAAGGGTTTGGCCAATTTTGGACGTAATAACACCACCGGTGAGCCGAGCGGAATACACATTGGAAGAGGATAGTGTTGTGGTACAACTGGATACCAGATGGGCAGTGGAGGGTAGTGAAGATGAGCAGTGGTCATATATTGTTCGGATAAACGTACGTCTACGAATGATATAGGGAAGGGAGTAGTGCAGCCTGTGGCAGTCGTATGAGAAGACCGTGATAGTGGTCCAGTCGCCAAAGTGGATGATGTCCTGGAAAAGTGAAATGATTTCACAAATCACAAAAGAGAGTAAAAGATATTCTCACATCACTTTACTCTTACAATAAAAAAACTATTATCTTAACGAAGTAAACATTTGAGAATAAATCTTCATAACATATGGTCGTTACAATGCCAGTCTTTTATTTCCTGCCTACTACAAATTTTCAAGGTAACATTTGCTGTGAATTAAAACCACAGCGATGCTGAGATATTAGCAAAACGTGAACCCCGGGCAAGGTCGAACCACGATTTCACTTTTCGAGGTCTCGCGGATTACACACTGCGTCACGGAGGGTCCTTGCTCTGCGTTTCTCTTAGCTAATTTTGCACCTAACGCTGCCATTAGCTGTCATCATATGGTCGTTTATCTTGCTTTCCTCTAGGTATATTTTTTGATTTTTTGATTTTGAAGTGAAAGTCAATATCCTTGCACAGGAGTCCAAAACACCAGCGCGAAAACTCCTTGAGGCTTTTTGGATCAATGCCAAAAACCCTACAATGAATAGCAGGGATGAATGCCCGGAGATCATACGCGACCTGATCTCGTACGTTCGCATCGATTTTTGATGTGGGATGGTGCAGTCGTCAACCACATGCGACTATAATCAGCTGTTCTAAACTTCCTCATTGGAAGCCACGAAAAAGCGGTGGGTTTTTCGAGAAGTTGTTGATTGTGTAATTGCCGGAGAGTTCTTCGTCTTTTTGTAAGTGTTATTGAAGCGTTTGGCCTAGTAGATTGTATATCAGCATACCCTTCCAGGCTCTGAAGAAGGCGATACTGCCGAAACGTCAGCTAGCGTTGTATTGTATTGCGTTTTTATGGAAGTAAATGTATGCTGTTTAAAAACCTCGCGATTGCTGAGCAAGAAAACGGCACATTCATATTCCAATGCCGAGGTTAAGAGAAAGTCGATCTTGGGATCTAGGTATATTCTTTATGATATCAGAATTTGAATACATCTAAATAATATGGCTCCTGATCTTTCGATTGCGGCTCTTTCGTTAACCATGCATTTGAAAAGAAAACAGTCACATATGGATCTTGGAAGAGCGAACAGTTACGTGATTGATTTGACATGTTTCCTACCAGCGAACAATTTAAACGAGCGCCAATGTTGCCTTCACAAAGCAGTCCTACTGGGAATAATAAAGGTCTGGAAAACAGCATTGTTGGTTTTTAAACATTTTAAACAAACATTTTGACCTTAATCTGTAATACTGACATCATTTAAGAAGAGTTACCTCTTTAAACACACTTGACGGTTGAGGAACCGATAATATAAAATAAGATGATGTTAAACGAATTAGTTCTCATGACATCAATGGCGAAAGTAGCCTTAGGCCAAGGGCTCTCCTTAGGCTTAGAACTTGAGAGGATCATGTGCTACGCTCGAATTTTTACGAAAAAAGTTATATTCATTTGAATAAAACCCATTCAAATCCAAATACTCCTATGAAAAAGCATGATGTTCCCACATAGTACCATAGATTCCGAATTCATAGAAACGAAAATTTCCTCTCAGGCATTTCAACATCCGTTCGGTTTTCTGGGACGTTTTCGCTAGTACTTGTTAAAGCTTTTGAAAAGTGCTGTTCTCTTGGCTATCCTTGTCCTTTTCCTCGTCACATAAATCGCGTATGGTCAATTAAATGGGACCAAAAGCAAAGAAACAAGAAGCATTTCACTAGATTTTTTTTCAAATCGTTTAATGGATTATTTGCTGTAACCATTAAACAGGGATAAAGATGGTGACAATAGAACATGAGGAATACAGAGCTTGGTATTGATCAACACCGGAGATGCCCTATGAATTCGTCTCTATTGAGCATCATGGACTCAGTTAAATGCACATCTAGCCTATGCAGGCACTTTTTCCTCTCAGGCATTTCAACATCCGACTATATGCCTAAGTTAGCGTTCTTATTCTATCTGAAAAGTCTGACACCAATTTGCAGACCGGGGATGAATGGAAAGCTTGGCTTCCATAGGATGTGGGGCCGAACCTACGACTATATATATATATATATATATATATATATATAGTCGTAGGTTCGGCCCCACATCCTATGGAAGCCAAGCTTTCCATTCATCCCCGGTCTGCAAATTGNTTTGCAGACCGGGGATGAATGGAAAGCTTGGCTTCCATAGGATGTGGGGCCGAACCTACGACTATATATATATATATATATATATATATATATGTTTATGTTTGTTACAAGAAACCTCCTACCGCCGTTTTATATTTTATATGCGCCTCTTCAATGGTAATGCAAAGTACTATTTGAGAACATCAAAATTAGAGCGATTTCGTACTTAAAAATAGAAGACATGGTTCAGCTCACGTAGAACGTCGATATGGGCGATTTCGCGCAATTGTTTTTCACTGACACGCCGCAATGAATTCCATGTCTTCAAACCTGTAGAAAAAGGGAAAAACTACTTGGAGGACGTCAACGATAAAATAGCGAATCTTTCTGAGTGGCCAATCGCATTGGGGATCAGATCGAGGCCAACATGGCTCCTTACCTAGACATGAATAAGGACTTGAAAGTAAAATATGACAAGAAGAAATAACCAAAGCGATGACAAATTTTAGGCACCAAAAAGACGAAAATGACATGCTAAAACTATGTGCATGAAAGGAAAACACTGCAATAGTAAAATAAAACTGATATCGAGTCCAGTGAAGTGATATTTATGATCATATTAACCGTTTCCAGTAGACATTCATGGACTATTGTGTCTCCATAGGAAATTTAACTATTCGTACACGGCTTTCTTGATCCATGAAATTTCCGTGTTTACGAGCGAGATGAATTGTAGGGAACGCGTGCGTGAAGCCACAGGGCTGCCACGCAAAATTTAACGCTCATGAAGAAACTATTCAAGTAACACCAACGATTTCAAAAAGAGATTAACAAGCTTGTTCTTTATATGCTAAAAACGCGGTAATTCTTGACAACGATGTTTTTCACTCTGATCTTCTATTCACTTTTCTACTTCTAATTTTGGAAGCAGTGAATGCGAATTCAGTTTGTACAACTACATTTCTATTTACAGCTCTCAGATAATGTAGAATTTAGTGCCTTGTTTATAGACGAACTAACTCTCCACTCAGGATCCCCTGACGGTCCACAAGGGGGGGGGGGGGGGAAGCTAAATAAANGGGGGGGGGGGGGCTAAGCTAAATAAAGTAGATGACGATGATTCGCCGTTTTCTTCAACACGAGGCTGGTAGAATTTACTACCACAATAGCTGACTTTTTGGCGGTTTTGCTTTCTTCAGAGCCTGCAAGGGTATACTCCTCTCAGCGCTCATACTTCAAAAGAGCTCTTGTTAGGGGCGCAACAGGTATGCTACTCTGCGTCCGTTTAAAAGTAAACCTAGCCGGTGAATTTAAATTGAAACACTGAACTAGGTGAACATAGGACACAAGAACGTAACGGAGATGTTGAACTGAAATTCACTATCTTCGCACAGGAATCCAAAACGTCACCGCGATATACTCTTGAAGCGCTTTGAATTAATTTCAAAAATCCAAAAATGACCTGCAAGTATGAGTGTCTTGCGATCGATTGAAATTTCGGACGAACAAGAAAACCTATTCTCAACAGAAAGACCTTTTTGGAACGAAGTGCACGTCTCCACGACACATTACAATCGGGACATTCTCTCATTTGTAAATGATTCACGCAAAAAAGAGAGGCGGTTCTCTGTTGGGCCAAATGATAACACACAGAGATTAGGATCTGTAAAAACGATGTTTTTTTTGCATTTACATTTACATTTACCGCCCGCCATCACATCTACTGTGCGGATCTCAGCACTTCTTACATTCGATTCGTTTCTCTCGCATTCATCGTCATCAATAGTCATCGAACACTTTGCATGTTGTTTCGGCTGCTACTTGAGATTTTTTCACCATAATTCTTGTAGAACACTGACCTAGTCGATCCTCCTTGCAATCTTGGAGATAGCCTAGCTAGGGCGTACCCACCTGGACTGGAGAAAAGCATTGGAGAAAGGGTTGAACTACGGCCTTTGCTTCCAGATAGACGAACCAGTAACCTCTGCGATACCCCGTTCCATGCGTCGGGTAACCATTAAAAGCTCTCAAAGCTCTAAATCTCTCTGCCTTGATCAATCGCTGAGGGATGCGCCATGCATTCGACTTTATTAAGTATAGTTGGAGGTGATTGAATGCATATCTGGCCTTTACAATGACTTGCGGTAGCCTACCGTTGTATCGAGCCAGGCTGCTATCTCCCAGACAAGTCTGCCACCAATTTACCCCTGATCCCGGAGGGATGGAAGGAGCAAAATGATAGGTTAAAACCTTTGCTTTTCTCATCATGTAGTAATCTATTCATCACGATTATGACACTGAAAATTCCCGTTTTAAAATGACACATTCAAGACTACTTTCTAAAATATTGATACAGCATCACCGAAACATAATTGGACAGCAATAAACTTCATATAAAAAATAGCAAACCAGAGAAGCTTAACCATTGATCATGGTTACTGTAGTGTATACTTGAGAGAGCGGCGCATGATTACCAGAAAAACGGGTGTGGCCTTTTGCCCTTTTGTAAAGAGATTGCGCTAATCGTGTTTGTTTCCTTCGCAATTCCCTTCATTCACATTTTTTTTGGCAGTACTAAATCTGATAAAGAAATGAGCTATAAGTACGCTTAAAGGAGTCTTGAATCCTGTTGGTGTCCACATTTCTCAGTTTTGTGCCAATTTGACATTCCCTTGGCTCAAGAAAACGGTAAATCCGCCGCATTTAAGGTCCAATTTGGAAAATGTGCTCATCTTGCATTTTGGAAAGTGTTCTTATTTTCAGGTGTCTCCATAGCTTGCGCGCCAATTTTTTTACATAGTTTAAGTGTCAGTCTTCTGGTTCG